AAAAGCTGGAACCTGGTGCCCCTCATTTCTCAAAAACTGCAGATACTGTTCTTTCGTCTACTGATACTGGAGTACTGATACTGGAGTCAACCAATGTGAACAATTGCACAATATGGAATCAATCAACATTTGGTTCCAGATTGGTACAATATTCGAGAAGTTTAAAAGTGCATATGCGAATATGGACGCGCATTCGAAACCTAGGATCCGTTCCAGCGAAGTCTGCCTAAAATGAAAAAACTCCACTCCCAATGCTATTGTTTATCGACATATCTCGAAATGGAACCTAGTTATTAGTTGAAGCACACAGATTGTTTTATTTAGCTTCTTCTTCAAAAAAGAATCGGCAGATTGATGTGGATGTCTCAAAACAATTATCGATGAACAGATTAGACTTGCTTAGAATAGAAAATTGCGCTAGAATTCCGTCATTCAGGCGACATAAGCAGCAGCAGCAGCAGCAAGGTTTTTCAAATCATCATATTCCTTTCTGGTTGACTACACAAAAAGGGTTTGAAGAGGAAAATAGCATTTTTTAAATCCCTGTTGAAGGCAATGAAGATGTTTTGAAGTAAGTCCAGGATTGTTTTGCTTTAAGACAGCTCTTAGGTGATTACGAATACTCTTCCCCAGCGAAAGTGATTTCGAAAGAAACATGTCAAAGTAGAACACAATCTGTCAATTTTTGTGACACGTGGCAAGGACCTAGTCCTCGTAGAATCTATGTTATTACTATAAGTTCAAAAGTCCAGCTTTTTGTAAATACAGAGAACAAATCTTTGTAAAGGCATACTTGCAGAAAACACCGTAGATAATTTGATTTAGAACCTAATAATCGATGCAGGTTAATTGTTTGAAACATATGACAGAATTGAATTACACATGGTAGTGCAACGGCCAAGAAGCATTTTGCAAATGGGAGTTCCAAGAAAGCATAAAATTGAAAAAAATAGAGCAAAAGGGGCCAAAAATTCAGCAATAAACGCAGAGACTTTTTTCGATTTGCTTAATTGCATGAATTCGGTTGACGAAGCAAGGATCAAAACATTGACTTTTGCACTCAAAACCTTAGCATAATTTGTTGAATTTGTATGTCATTTTGAAAGCAAAATTGAAACATTGAATGGTGCGCGTTGATGCCAGAGCAAGTGAAAAAACTGTAGCAAATCGGCAGAAGATTCTGACAAATTTGAAATCGTGTGTGTCGATGGTTTGGAAGCCTAACTGGAGTAATGTAGAGAGAGACTGATCAGTCAACATGTTAGACTGTACTTTTGTACCCACAACCATGATACCGTTGTGAATTTTCTGGAAACTCTTAAATGTTTGCGCAGTATATGGCCTGGCGAATGCCAAGGATCACTTCTCGATCGCTCTTTGGAGTCAACATCAGTCGTTTGCGTATATATGGGCTGGCGAATGCCAAAGATCACTTCTTGATCGCTCTTTGGAGTCGACATCAGTTGTTTACGCGGTGTATGACCGTCTGGCGAATGTTAAGGATCATTTCTTGATCGCTCTTTGGGGCGCATATACAGACATGTTTACGTGGACATACAGACGCGCTGACTCACATGGGGGTGCTTGCGCTTTATATAGAGTAGGATAAGATGTCTTCTTAAATTCATATACTTTTAGAAAGTTGTAGAACACTTATTATGTGGTATTTGGTATCCAACTGGCAATAAAAATCGCGCCTCTTGACATACACTTCCTGGGGTCCGGTTTGGAGGCTATATCTCAGCGGTTAGTGAGTCACCTGCACTGCTGCTTGGGCAGCGCTTTAACTAGGGCCCTAGAATTACTTTCCACGTAAAATCCCTATAGGTCTAGATCTGCCTGGACGCTACGTTTAACGGAAGACTCGGTTAAATTTATCGTTGGGATTTTTATGGTCGTAAGCCTTAGAAGGGATTATTAAGCCTTTCTGTCATTTGCTCACAACAACTGCTTATGCCTCTTTGTCTTCCTATGTTGGAAGAGGCAGCGCTGTGCTTTTGCAAATTCTCCAGCGGAGCGGATTCGCTGCTGTATGAATGCTTTGGCCTACATCGGTTGAGACAGACTCTGAATTTTCAAGTTCACGTGGTTTCCTGATTTCTCAACCTAAAGTCTTCCCCAGCGCAGGGTAGAGGAACGAACGCCTCAATTAGGCATCGCCTCCGCGGGCTGCTGGTCCTTTCGTCCTATTGTTGTGCATCGTGTTGGACCAGTGGTCCGCGGAGGCGGTGCCTAAGGTAGGTGCCAGAGTAAGGCTGCGTTCATACTGATTACGAAATCCGGGAACAGTTCCAGCACAGTGCTCAAACTGAGCGTTGTGCTGGGACTGTTCCCGGATTTCGTAATCAGTATGAACGCAGCCTAAGCGAATATTTTGTTCAAGTTGGGGTCCCGCGCAGAATTGACGTCTCTCACCATGCTGGCGTCAATCCAAGTGACGTCAATTCTGCGCGAGACCCCAACCTGAACAAAATATTCGCTTACTCTGGCACCTACCTAAGCGAGGTGTTCGCTCCTCCACCCTTCCCCAGCGCAGGATCTATCCTTCTGCAAAGGACCAACCCAAATCACTGCCTCTCCTCTGTTTTGCTCCACTGTACGAGAAATCGCTTTGCTGAGTATCGCGCTCTAACTCGAATAACTTGAGCGTCAAGTTTATTAAATTTTGATTTTCTACTTAGCTCTTATTTTCTCTTCCGTCTTGCTTTCCTTCTTTCTTTACGATGATGTTGGAGTTTCTGAAATGGGCTCAGTTTCAGTTCGAAGTTTCTACCTTCTGTCCTTCACAGTGCATGTAAGAAGTGACTCCGAAAAGGACGAAACTTTCTAAAGCTTCAGCTAATACAAAGGGGCTTTGCTTTAACCCCAGTAGCTACGTGCCGGAACGCCCTTCCCAGATTAAATGATCATACTATATATAAAGCGGAAGCACCCCCATCTGACGTCAACAGTCGCGCCAGAGGTGTAAACATGTATGTCGTTTTGCGCCGGTGCGAGCGTACCGAGCTGATGACTCACAATGGTAGTGATCCCTGTCTTAGACGGTGTTGATCAAACGGCATAACCCAAAAAACGATCACAATAGTAGTGATGCCTGTCTTAGACGATGTTGGTCAAATGGCATAACCAAACATCACAGTGGTAGTGATGCCTGTCTTAGACGATGTTGATCAAATGGCATGACCCAAAAAACAAATCACTAGACAAGCTACTTTTCGTATAGTTCGAATCGCTTCGACACTTACAAAAGCAACTCAACTTTCATTGAATTGGAACAGGTTGGTTTACAATTTTACTTAGATCATTTTCATTATAATCCTCCAACATTACTTATTACTCAAATATAATTTTATCTTTTTAATTTATCCATCCTTTGACTAAAAGCTCGAATTTCCAAATTTCATATAGGAGACAGTTAGCTTTTTCAGTCCACAGTGACTCGCAAAAAACATCTTACTGTGTAACATCTGAATATCTTAACATGTTTGACTATCGCTGATGATTCCTGAATGAATAAAAAATTTTATTTCTCAAGCCTCTGATATGAGTACGAACTCTTTTGAGATTTCCATCAGATAACTAGCGTTTTTCAAGTCACAACAAGCGGCGGCGAATTTAGTCTATTTTGTCTTTCTTTTGACAGTGCACCATAAGTTTTTCAAAAAGTTGCCAATTTCAGCAGAACATTGTTGTCTCTCATATTTCATTTTCAGTGCTCAGTATGTTTCCTTATTGTGGAAGAGTTGAGCCAAATCTTTGTTCAATGGATTTACTTTGTTTTTCAAATTTTTTCGTCAACGTGCCTCACCAAGAAAGTTGAACTTTTCCAAATATTTTCTATGAAATGCTTAGTAGATGTATTTATCTCAGACAAATTGCACTAAATTGGTTTTTAGAAGTTTCTCGAAAATACCGTTACTTCTTCGGACAGTCTTTATCAATGATTTTTATAACTGAGCACTTTGTTTGGAATGCGTGTGTTATTCAAACAAAAATTGTCAGTGAGAGTTGCAATTTTTCGAATTTCGATTGCAAAGTTTTTTTTCAAAGAAATTGCGAAAACCGTTTTTGTTGACTCTATACCGTTCTGCTTCCCTTTTTCAAAAACGGTCTACATAAATGTAATTCTAGATAAGCGCTTCATAAGACATCATTCCTAATGTATGTTACAGAGATGTATTTACGAGATCAGGAATAATAATTTTCCGTTATTTGTCAAACGCACAGTAGTTGTTATAAAATTCAAAAAGACTTCTCAAGATCTGTTGAACATTTCTCACAATTGTCAACACATTTCACAGACATTATCCGCGCCGCAAATGTCTACTACCCAAAACAAGTTTCAAAAGTGCATTTTACTTCATCACAGTTTTTACTGTGCGCCTAAAAAAGCCGAAAAATCGCGTTTAAAAAAAATTATTGCATGCTATTTGAACTGATTTTGTGAGTATACGCTGTATATATAGCTTGATTTTCTCTACAGTCAAATAAACATTCTTCTTTCCAATGTTTTCAAGGTTCTCTGTTAATGCCCTTTGTAAAAAGCTGAGAATATTCCAACCAAAGTCCTAGCTTTCCATGCGTCATATGCCCTTCAAATTTAAATTATTGCTTTCGCAAATTTGCATTTCTTTGCATCAACAATCTTTGCATCACAACGTTTTTTTTATAATGCTGCGCTTCAATCCGTTCTGATATTTACGCACGTTCTCACAAAAAAGCCCGACAGGTAAGATACCAGCTGATACCAGCCGCCTTACGAAATTTATAACTCTAAAGGCTACTGAATGCCGAAGGCGCAGAAGATTATTAGATGGGCGGGCGCGAACGCGGCGCGCGTTTATCTTTACCGTTGTGAATCGTGCGCTTTATGCGCTCTGCGCCTATTAGAGCCGCGTTCGCGCCCAAAAATATTGCGCCTTCGTCGTGCAATAGCCTATAAAAGCTTGCATTGCAGTACTACTGAATAGTACTCCGTGACAGCAACTCGACCACACGTTATGGAAAACATAACTGCAGCGCAGGTATGACACTTTTAGAAAAATTCGAAATTGCGGGTTATGCATTTTTGGGGCTTCCGAAATTTCGGAAAACTTTTAGGAAACTCTTTCAAGTCAATCTTTTCCTTCTGAATCTGCCACTATGTCTACAAGTAGTATGACAAATCAGGTTTTGTTATTTTATGATCAGGATTTTCTTTCGAGATATCAATGTAACAGACTTCAGACACAAGCTTCACACTACATCAAGGCCACTAGAGATTCTACAATGCTTCCACGGCCCAGTAATGATTTCATACAAAACGACGTTCGCGCCTGCTTGGCTGAACAGGTAAAATTCATGGCAGCTAATAACAATAAATGTTCGCAGCGATAAGTTCTAGACGGATTCACAGCAGCAGGTGGATGGAAGCAATGCCACAACTTCAATTTTGGAAGCTTCGAAAAAGCATTCAAATCTTTCTCTAACAAAAGCTGAAAAGGATGCACACAGAAGATCTACGGAAACCCAAGTTGCGCACGACCTACGTGTTGCTGCTGAACTAGAACGAGCAAATTTGAGGAGATCCAACGAAACTGAAAGCGAGCGCAAGCTACGTCTCTCAGTCAATGCAGAGAGGACCAAACTAAGGAGGTCTGCTGAATCCGAAGAGAGCAGAGCCGACCGTCTTGCTAGCAATGCTGCAAGAATTAGGAAAATAAGGGCAGCTGCTGCTATTGAGAAGCGAGTACTGCGATCACATACGCGAGTAGATGAGATGCAAGCACAGCCTGCGGCGGCATCTCATGAAAACACTGAACAAAAACCTCGGAAGCGTCCTCGACCACAGCAATTAGAAGAAGATGATTGCGTTCCGAGTACTTCCATTCTAGATAATTCCGAACTCGTGGTTAGTTCATATTTCAGAAAGTTTCGACTACAACATGTAATTTTTTAGGAAAGCGTTCCGGGTGCAACTTCTTCATGTTTCTCCAGCAATATATCTATAGAGGAAATGGCAGATGAAGTTTCAAAAACGAAAAATTGGTTGAAGCCTTTACGTTTTGAATTCAGAGCGTAACATCGTTTGAGCGATCTGAGCAAGAGAATACTAGCGCAATCCGCAACCAACGCATACTGAAAACCTCACAGATAGAAAGTGAATCGAATTCTAACAACCATGAAGTAATAATTAACTTTTTTTTCAAATTGCTTTTGATGAACTTTTTATGTTTGTGAGTGTTGCAAACTCAGATATCTCAAGTCTACTTTTTAAGAGCATCTTTGTGAGAACTCCAGCGATTGCGTCCACTGTATTCTTGAAGGATTCGACTGCGCAGGTATATAGCAGCAAGACCTCTTCAGAAAAGTTCAAGTGCTGCGCTTAATCCACGTTTTTACAGGTCCCTCGCGCAAACTTGAATGACGTAGATGAAAATACTCTCAATTTCACATTTCACCGAAGTCCAGTAAGAGGGCACGAAGATTGCGAGGTTATATCACTTCCCAGTGAGATCTCTTCGACTACGTACGGAACCGAGGTGAGCTTGGGTAATGCACATGTTTTGAGTTAAATTACTTAGTATTTCAAGTATCCTCCCCCAAGAATTGCGATCAGTGAGTCTTTGAACACAGCTACAGATCAGTCTGCGATTCAGGTCAGGTTATATGAACCGTTGTGCTTATTGAGTAAAGCAATGTTTTAGATGAGGTTAGCTCGAGGTAATGAGCAGCGCCGGGGCAGATCGCCTCCAAACTTGGGCATAGCTTTGACTGGGATTAACGTAGAGGAAAACTACTTAGGAGTTCTCAACGTGAGCTGCAGTCACTGCGCAGCTCTCTATTTTCCTGGCGAGGCTAAACCTAGGAACGGTTGCTTCAACATGTGCTGCAATTTTGGAAACATCTCTTTGGATTTTTTTTCAAACTTCCCGGAGCTCTTCCTTTCCCTCTACACCGGAACGAGTGATCTCTCGAAAAACTTCCGTATGCATATTCGGTCTTATAATAGTGCCCTTGCCATGGCTTCAATGGGTGCTCAAGTGGACACTCCTCGTGGCTTCGGACCTTACTGCTACCGAATTCACGGCCAAGTATACCATTACGTCGGTCCCGCAAGACCAGAAAAAGGACTTCGTCCACTATTCGGACAAATATACATACTAGACACGGACGCTGCGGCCGCCGAAAGAATTGGAAACCCAGCTAATGCAAATTGTAATGCAACTGTGATGCAGCAATTAACATCGTGGTTGCACTCCCATAACAGTTATGCTGCTTCATTCAAAATGATGGGAGATGTGGCTGCGGAAGAAGAACAACGAGCTGTCATTGAAAAGAGGCAAACACCTACAATTCGCATGGTTTTTGATGACAGCGATAGTCTGGATCGTCGTCGCTACAATGTCCCTGCCTCAAGCGAGATCGCTGTTGTCTACGTAGGTGAAGACAACGATGTTCCGGCAAGTCGCTCTCTAGCAATCCACTACAGAAGAGGCGGTTTGCAGAAAATTCGAGACATTGACGGTTGCTGCGATCCCCTAACTTACCCCTTGATATTTCCTAGAGGAGGACAGGGATGGCATGTTGATTTGAAGAAGAATCCGAGTACGCGCATCCGAACAAGATTAACTCAGCGAGAGTTTTACTCGAATTTGCTTGCAGTGCGCCGGTCTTTCAACCCACTTCATTATGCTGGGAAGCTTATGCAGCAGTTTGTCGTTGACGCATATGTGAAGATTGAACAAAATAGACTAAATTATGCCCGAACACATCAGATGGAACTTCGAGTCGACAGCTACAAAGGGCTTATGGATCACTTGGCTAGAGATGACACAGATGGGCCACCAGGTCAGCGGATAATCCTACCGTCTTCATTTCAAGGCAGCCCCCGCGCTATGCATCAGGCTTATCAAGACGCGATGGCCATTGTGGCAAAATATGGAAAGCCGGACTATTTCTTAACATTTACTTGCAATCCTAAATGGAAAGAGATAACTGAAAATCTGCATCCTGGCCAATGTTCCTCCGATCGACCTGATTTGGTAACTCGCGTGTTCAATCGGAAATTGGAAGTTTTGCAAAATCATTTATTCGAGAAGAAGGTCTTAGGGCGTGTAGCAGCTTATGTTGGGATCGTAGAGTGGCAAAAACGAGGTCTACCTCATTGCCATATGCTTCTCATTATGGCCGCAGATTCGAAACCAAGGACCAGCGAGAATGTCGATGCAGCCGTTCAAGCGTGTCTTCCAAGTGCCACGGACAGTCCCCGTCTTCTCAGCATAGTAGCAAGGAACATGATCCACCGTCGCTGTGGGACAGCCAATTTGAATGCACCATGCATGATAAATGGGGAGTGCTCAAAACGTTTCCCAAAGGAGTTTCGAGACACAACTGACGTTGATGTAAACGGTTACCCCAATTATAGAAGGCCTAACGACGGCCGCACAGTAACGATTAGAGACGAAACGTTCGACAACAGGCACGTTGTGCCTTATAATCCGTATCTGTTGCTGCTTTTGAACGCTCACATAAATCTTGAGATTTGCGGTTATGTGCAAGCGGTCAAGTACCTTTATAAGTACGTATACAAAGGTCCGGATCGAGCTGCTTTACGACTGCTGCAGCAGGATCCCATTCGACGATCTGACGAAATCAGAGCTCACCTGGACGCTCGCTACGTATGCTCACCAGAAGCACTCCATCACATTTTCATGTTCGGATGCCAATTCAAATCCGCTACTGTCTACCGTCTTCCCGTACACCTTCCCGACTTCCAAATGGTGACTTTTCAATCAGGTGGAGAACGAGAAGCAGCAGAACGCGAGGCAAACAAAGACTCCATGTTAACAGCTTGGTTCAAGCTTAACATCGAATACGAGCTTATGGAAAACGAGAACATTGTATGTGATGGTGTAGATGCTCGCAATCTTTACTACCATCAGCTGCCTGAGCACTTCACCTTTGTGAACGCACGTAAATGGAAAAGAAGGGGAAGAGGAAATCGCCAGATTGGTCGCATGTATATGGTGTCTCCAGCAGAACCAGAGAGATTCGCTTTACGTATCTTGCTCCTTCATCGGAAGAACATGCATTCTTTCGAGGACCTTCGCACTGTCGAAGGAAATGTACATCCCACATTTTTAGATGCAGCGAGAGCTCTCGGATTTCTGCGTGACGACTCGCATTACGAGAGCTGTTTGGAGGAAGCTACTCAATTTCAAATGCCTTCGCAATTGAGGGCGTTGTTCAGTTATATGCTGGCATTCTGTGAAGTTTCTAATCCACGACACCTATACGATCGCTTCAAGGCTGATATGGCTGAAGATTTTACTCATGGGGGAGCTACAGCCTCTGATGCCGAAGCACTTGCGTACTACGATCTATATGATAAACTGCAAATACTGCGTTACGACCTTTCTGTCAGTATCACTCCACCTACACACATTCGACCGGTGCTAGAGGACCAAACTGACTACGCGTCTCACGAGAAGAAGGGCAGGGAAATGTATCAGTGCCTCAATCGGCAACAGAAGTCAACGGCAGACAGTATTCTAGCTTCCTTTGATTTGGATGCGCCTAAGCTACACTTTGTCGACGGTCCTGGAGGCAGTGGAAAAACCTATCTTTACAACGCCTTATACCATATGTTGAAGGGGAAGCACAAGTCTATCATCTGTGTAGCGTGGACAGGAATTGCAGCAAATTTGTTACCTGAAGGCAGGACAGCCTGCTCAACATTCAAGCTGAATATGAGATCTGGAAATCAGGAGAGCACAATGAGACGAGAAGCTAAAGAGGCCACACCTCTAAAAGAAGCGGATATAATCATCTGGGATGAAATCAGCATGGTTTCAAAATCAGCTTTGAAGGCAGTCAATCGTCTTTTTCAGGATCTGATGTGCAACACTAAGAATTTTGGAGGAAAGACTGTAGTCTTTGGCGGGGACTTCCGACAGGTGTTGCCTATCATAGAGCGTGGAAGGGATGCTGATATGGTTGATGCATGCGTAAAAAATAGCGACCTCTGGGAGTTGTTTCGCATGCATCAGCTTTCAGTCAACATGAGATCCGCAGAATCTGGCTCTTCTTGGTGCGATTTTTTGCTGAGAGTTGGAAATGGAGAGGTAGAAGAAGACGAAATGGGACGAATAGAGATTCCAGCAGAAATAGTCTCTAATGGCAATCTCATAGACGATGTTTTCGGTGATCTGTTGACAGACTTCCACACTTTGAGTGAACGTGCGATTCTGGCACCTCGAAATATCGACGTACATGAAATCAATGAAGAAGTTTTGGATAAACTCCCAGGACAGCTTCACGAATACTACAGTGTAGACGATGTGATTAGCGATGAACCGCAAAACGATTTTACCAGCGAATTTCTCAACAGTCTCACCCCAACAGGAATGCCTCCACACAAACTAAGGTTAAAAGAAGGCGCTATAGTCATGCTTTTGAGGAATCTTGATGTTCGAAATGGATTGTGCAATGGAACAAGACTGATTGTCACACACTTCAAACGTTTTGTTCTGGGATGTAGATTTGCATCAGGAGATCGGAAAGGAAAATGGGCCCTAATACCACGTATCGACAACTTTACAGACAAAGGTGTACCGTTTCGATTGAGAAGGACGCAATTTCCTGTTCGTTTGTCATTTGCAATGACAATAAATAAAGCTCAAGGCCAGAGTTTCACGAAAGTGGGTATCTCCCTTAGAACGGAAATATTTTCACATGGACAATTATACGTCGCCTTATCGAGATGTCGAAGTAAAGAAGGAGTCAAAGTGTATAAGAAAGAGGAAAGAGTGAGGAACGTCGTGATAAAAACAGTCCTCAGTTAACGGCGTTCAAAGCTCAAAGATTAAATGCCGAAATCAAGATTGTGCCAGTTTGATTTGTTCCTTCACGATGCACAATTTTCCTGCGTGTTCATTGCAAGAAAGTCAACAGAGTCCGCAAGCAAGGTACGGCAAAACAAAGTCATTGAGTTTCATTAATTCACATTTTCCAGCAAACATGAACGTGTACGTGCCCATGCGCAAACAAGAGAGAAAACTCAAAAACAGTGCAGGGTGGGTTTTACTGAGTTGTGGTTCAATATTTTTTTCAATTACAGTTTATTTCCTCTACCTCATTCGCAAGCAAGATACGGAAGTCCGCGAAATCAGCGCACTTTACACGATTTGCTTCCAAACTGTACGTGTCTCTGCTCATGCAAAAAAGAAAGGAAAAACTCACAGCTAAGAAGAGTGCGCGGTGGGTTTTGTTGATATGCCTCAGTATTCTCTGATTCGCTTCAAAACACAAATTGCAGGTGCTCTCGCCTACAGACTTATTCATCGTACAAGTCATATGTCTTGGTAATGTAGAATTTTCGTCTTACACTTTGTCTGCTGGAGATCAGCAACGTCGGATCACGAAAAAACACTTTGCATTAAATCTGTTCTTTAATTTAACGGACGCATTTTTCTGATCATCTGTCGGTTTGAAATTCCTTCACCTACATTACTATCTCCCACATCCTTTCAAAACTTACCATGCATGACTACTCAATTTCCCTATAAACACTTCTAAGGCCACAATACTTTTGACACATCCCACTCCACACACACAGCCAGTCCAAAGCGCCGCGAAGCGGCGCTTTGGACTGGTACTAAATATTTGGGAATCAGAGCGAGAATGTTGATTGATATCGCACAGCTGCTGGCGTGAAAGCGGAAACGGAACTTGATTAGCCACCGCACGAAGGTTGCAGCTGGAAAGCGCATGGACAAACTTTGACCGAAAGTCAGGAAGGAGAAGAGAAATGGATGCTTGCTGTTTGTGCAGCAAGCAAAGTGAAGTGAGGTCATCTTTTATTGCGCTATTTTATTACCATCTGTGTCTTATTTCGTTTGTGTTCATGACTTTTTTTATTTTTTTTTACTTTTTTGCCGCTTTTTTCTCCACCATGTTTCCCACATTTCCCACAGCGAGGCTTGGGAAACAATAAAAAAGGAACTTCTTGACATTACTTCAATGCTTTGGGCAAATGTTCCACCTCTAATAGTGGAAATGTGCTATCTGATTTACTTTTATGTGGCTGAATTTCGTCTGCTATATTCACAATAATTCTTTTTCTACTCTATTCGCTGCTGATATCAATATGACCCTACCGTCTCTGCATATTCTATCTATATCATGCATAATCACTGCTATTCGACTGCTGTACAAATTATTTTCTGGGTCCCAAAGTTGCATATCGACAAATTTTCTTTGACATAGCCGAGCAGATAGTTTTTCCTGAATTCAAAGCACTCGTAAACATAGACTCTGGTTTACACCACTCATATTCCTTGTTCGAAAATAACAAAAATAACTGAAACTTTTCATCACGATGGTTGAAATTTTTATGTTTGTCTACAACTCATTTCTTTGAACTATGTAGTAAGACCAGTATCAAAAGTCCTACTGCTATGCGGGCAGAAATGCACTTTGCCTTCATTTTTGAATCACGATAATCTCTTCAGAGCGGCAATGGTGGAATCACGTACTGAACCAGGAAACAGACGAACATTTTGCAAGTTGCAGGGCGGCCTTCTTCAGCGACATTAATCTTTGTCAGGATGCGGGTTGCCGTTAATCTGAACATGTTTCATCCGGAGCTTCCGCTCCTCCAAAGGTATTGATTTTGCTTCCCGCGCAGGCTTTGCTACTTTTCGATTTTTTAGGTACAAAGCAGCAGCCGCTGCTGGTTTTCGCCAAGTAGAAGTGGCCTTACCATATTCTGAGAAGGCTGAAGATCTGAAGAAAACTGCCGATTCACTTGGTCTTTCGCATACTCTTATCAATGCGCCAGCAGGTACATATGTCTAATCTTCTTTCCCATTCCTTTCATCTGTGTTAGTTTTCTTGCTTGATATGGTTTTTCTATCCGTTTTGAGAATGTTCCTTAGTTCTCGCATTCTCATTTTATCTTATTTCTTTTCTCAAAATTCCCGCTTCATCTTACTTTCCATTGATTTACTGAACTGAAGGGGTGCATGTTTAAGTGTTTGTATAGCCTGTGTCTTCAAAAGTGCCGCCCTTCACAACTCCAAGGTCGTTTTTTGTAAAGTGAATTGTCAGAGAACGCACTTGAAAATTTTTCACTCATTTTCTGCGAATTTAGAAAGCGATCCAAACTTCGTCCTAGTAATGAAAATGTGAGCAGTTGGTTATAAACTTACCTAGAGGTATGATGTTGGAAGAGAGAATATAGTATTAGTAAAGAAATTCTGAAAATACCGCGTGGGGCAGGGGCCGGGGTCTAAGAAATGACAAGAAGATTTTGTCTGAGTAGGTTTTTTCTGGTTACGAACCTTGAATTAACAAACCCTGGAGGTGCATATCTATTGTAGCAGGTAGGGTTATTGTCATCGTTACCTTTGTACTAGATCTCTTATTCTTTGTTCATAAATTGAAGTGACAGGCCTTTCTGACGTAACAATAAGCAACGATTGAGTTGGCAACTGTGCATGTTCAAATTAAAAAACGCCGATGAATACTACATTGTAGTGTTTTTGAATGAAGTTGCACATGTCTTTGTTTCCTATGAAAACTCTTTCAGGAATGCTTTGAAGTATGGAACACGCAGTAGTTGAAGTGCTATGTTGTATTCTGGTTCATATACTTGAATGTTTCGCTATTACTCAACGACTATGTCTCAGCTTTTTAGGTGAGTGGTCCAAAGGATTCCGAGGTTTGGCTTCATTGCCTGCTCATAAGAAAGAGTTTCAAGACAGTATAAGCACAGCTATACAATATGCGAAGACGCTGAGCTGTGACAAGTGAGGTTGTAGCTTTGGACACGCAACGAAATGCATGCATCTTTAGCCCTGCTGTTATAGAGTACACGTCATGGCTGGAATTCCTGCCCAGAATGATGGAGACGTGTCGAAGCTTTATCAAGAAAACGTAGCTTTTGCTGCAAACAAACTCGGTGAGGTTAGTTTGTATGTGTTGCTTCATTCTCCTACAGGCCCTAATGACGTTGTATTGCGGCAAATTTGGAAATGCACGGAAGGTTTTATCCATCTGCCACCCCAGCTGTTTCTCTCCTTCTCTAAGGCACCCGTCATACTTGATCCTCTTGATCCACTTGATCCGCTTCGTGCAAAACGCGCCCCACTAATTTGTCAATTGGCATCGCTTACAGCGAATTTGCGCATCCATGTAGAATTTCTTTACACTTACACGGCGCCAAATGACAAACTGCTGTGTGTGCGCGTTTCGCAAGAAGCGGATTAAGTGGAACAAGAGGATCTAGTATGGTGGATGCCTATGGCAAATTTCTTCGAAGTTTTTCTATTTATGATATTGGCGAACTTTCAGGCAAATTTGATGTGTCTAATTGAGCCTATAAACCACTACTCTATTCCGGGTTATTTTCTGTCTACCTATGAGCAAGGTATGCAACCAGAATTTCACTTTCAAGTAAATGTCATTTGTTCAGCCAAAGCTGTGATTGATGCGGTAGCAATGCCAAATTTGAAGATGCAGTATGTAAGTCACTATTGTTTGGAAAAAAGATTTCTTCTTAGGATCCAGCACTAGATTGCATGTCGAGAAATAGGATTTGGTACCACATGTTGGCTGATTTGTATCACATCAGTCCTGGCGCGAGAGATCTGTAGGATTCTATCTTATAATTTCAGCTCATTTCATGATGTTATGGATTGATGGGGCATGTAAGACTCGTACGTAAGCTTTAGCTCACATCGGCAATCTGTAGTGTAATTTCCGAGAACAAAAACAGCATGTGGTATGCCGGCTCTTTGTAGTTACATTCGGCAACCATGATAGCTGCTGCCCTCTCTCTCTTCGCATCTCGTTGTTTACTATCACGAGATTGCGTAGGTGGTCGGGCTGGCCTGCGGCCTTACGAAGACTGCCAATATCGGCCATTACGTAAGACTTTGCTCTAGCGACCAACACTGTTCCTTCATTTCCCGCTGCCTGGTGCTTCTTTCCTTTATCGGCTCCCATGGATTATATGCTCTGTGACAAAATAATCATTACCAGCTAATACGCTAATCAAGTAAGGGAATTGCGACTCTTATCCTGACAGCTGCATCCCTAAGCTACTAAAAATAGCATGCTCCATTGAGATTTCAAAACACTTTTAACTGTATGGTGATGGAAATAAAACTGATCGGTAAGCGAGTTGTTCCGAAGCAGTAGGCGAAAAGGGAGAAGCAGAATTTAGCTTTGGCTTACATTCGGAGCCGTATCAATGCCTTCCACATTCCAGGACGTATTTCATGCGCAGCAAATATGTGGTCAAATCACCGCAACAATTAAAAAATATAAGGACCTTATAGGTTTGTTTGTATTATTTTTAGTTTCGATCATTCTGCGACTGTTTTCAGGCTACATACAAGTGGCACAAGTACCTTCTCGCGATGAACCCATTACAGCTGGTGAAGTCGATTACGAATATGTATTCGAGATGCTAAAATCCATCAATCCAAACTGGACTATAGGACTCGAACATAATTTCAATGAATCTCATGGCAAACCTAGCGAATGGATTCAAAATTTAGGTTTGAGTATGTAGATTATTCACGTGTGCAAGGTTTGAACGTTTGTATAAATTCTTTAGTACACTTGTCGTGCTTTTGAATTGGTTGCTTTTCCTTATATTTTGTTATGGTATTCCGTGTTTCTTTTCTCGAAATTGATCCTATTAATAATCACTGATAACAATTTTTGAGTCTTATTTGCAATTAAGAGATCGCTGCTTATGCGAGATTTAGTCAGCAATAGTTCTGTAAGACTGTACTGTCTTCCCTCATGCAAAAGCCATCAAGCAATTGGAAAGTTGCTTGCGCTAATATTCACATATCCGGCCTGTGCAAAGTCATCTTCGTATGTATTCATGCATCGCTGCCGTGTAAAGGTCATAGATAATTGCAGTTGTCACGAATATTCCTGTTCCTCACGCAAGCAACCATTTTCGCACTTCCATCCACAGATTTGAAGCTGATGAAATTTCAAAACAATGGATAGAGACAAAACTTTCGATGAAGTTTCGGCAATTAGATTTGTTTGTTTAGGAATTAGTTGCATGCAGTAGTGAAAACATACGTATTCTTAGATTCGAAGTTAGTAATGTATATTCCCTTTTTCCTTTTTGATCCTATTCTCAGTCATTGAACTGTAGTTTTTTGAATCTTATCAGAACATACACGAGACCCAGACGTTATGCAAGACCTAACTGTCAGCAATCATCCTATTTATCAACAGTGGCTAACTTTGTGTTACAAAAGCTTACTAACTAGAAAGTTAGTTGTGCTTTGTTCACAAATCCAGTCTGTGGAGAATTATCCTCGTTCATGTTCATGCATCGTTGTTTTGCAAAAAGTCCCAGGTTATCGCAGCTATTACATATCCGTATCTCTCTCTCTCTCTCTCTCGCAGTTAACAACTTTTTCCCATACTTTGCCCTAGCCTCAGACTTGAAAATGGCAGAGTTCCAAAACCATTAAAACAGTCAAGAACATGTGAAATTTTTTGCTTGCATATTGGTGTTGCCTCGTGCTGTTTTAAAAAGCTGAGCTGCAATAATGGTAATGTGGATTTAGCCCATCTTTTCAAATTACCTTCCGATTTTATGGAGGAGGGTGATGCATGTATTGGGCGAAAACAGTAAGTGCAAAATGGTTTTTCCAATGTGTAAGTTGTTTGAACCCTATCTACGGAGTATCACCAGATTTAACAGCGGGGGGAGGGACTGTGCTTGACTGTAGAGAGCCGACAGTTGTTTACGGTATCATGTGAACGAGGACAACGAGAGGCTAGCACAAAGACTGCTCGCTTCTTCTTTCTGTGGCAGTTTCCAACTTCACACATGGCACACACTAAACGCTTTCTTGAGAAGTGTTGTCAGTCGTCCTTCAATTTCTAGAAGGAACATTTTACGCTAATCCTAACACGTTCTGTATAGGTTATCGGCTTTCTTTCGTATTAGCCTAGAGCATATTGCAGCGTATACACTCCATAGGCGGCACTGTTTATAACAATGTCATAATATCTGTTGCGAGGGTGTGCGGGGTCAGTCATCGCCGTATTTGTGTAACTAATCTCTTGCATTGTTTTGCTTTAGCTTGGTTAGAGGTATGCCCCAACTCTTATCCTATGATTAGTGTTACAAATCTGATTAGTTTGTCCTTGTCTGTTTTGAATCAGTTCGTTGTATCAGCCATCTACAATTCTCCACCGTGGTAAGGCAGCGCCTTGGAAGTGACAACACTTTGCGTATCTCCTTGCAAACCTCTTACTGCTTTGCTATATTGTAATCTGCCAAAAACGACTGTTTCAAGATACTAAATAACATACCCTCACACTACGAATTAAAGGCAGCGTCCAGGCAAGTCTGGACACATGGGGATCACACTTGGATAGTAATTTTGGTGCCCTAACCAAGCCACTGCCCAACCGGCAGCTCGGATGATGCTCTAACGGCTGAGATATTCCTCTCGAAACTGGACCCCGCGATCGTATTTCGCATGGATTCATGGCGCAAAACGTCCTGGCGCGAAACTGTCATGAATCCATGTGAATACGATTGCGGGGTCCAGTTTCGAAGGTCCAGTTTCGAAATATCTCAGTCGTCAGACCACTACCTGCGCTGACGTTTAGGCAGTGCCTTAGTTAGGGCCCCAAAAGTACTTTTCACGTAAGTACCCCATAGGTCCAGATCTGCCTGGACGCTGCGTTTAAATTACGAACTATCTAACCCGTTTCACAGTGAGGGCATACGGCACACAGCATCTTGCAAATATTTTTGTTTAGCTGAAGGCTTATAGTCTCCAAGTCTTCCACCTCATGTCTAAAAAATAACCGTTCATGCTTAAGCCGAAAGCTTTTATATGGTAATAGCTAGATTGCATTCTTGATTCTCTCATCTAATCTATAGAGGAGTCACGTTAATCGTACTGCAGGACCTATTATGTAGACCGTATATTAACAAATTGACGACAATGTGCCCCACATGGTGGGTCATGCAATGGCTGTGGTTGTAGAAGTTCCATCATGCTTTATTCCTAGGAATTACTTCCGCGTTTCTTAGCTGCTTCTCAAAATCACTATAGGGATACTGCAAATGAATGCCTGCTTGGTTTCAGCTAAAAATACTCAACTTACTGTAGAGGGCACTGTCCCACAAGACAGACAGCTAAAAATGCACGCTGTCGTCAACGTGTTAAAGGCAGCGTCCGGGCAGATACGAAAATGTAGAGTACCGGGGCGCCCGTCCTGGTAAGGCTCTTGTCCAAGTGGCAATGCATTAAGTTGCTTCTGAAGCGAGAAATCCGCTTCAGAAGTGGCGACCGGAACGCCCCGGCGATCGGGACGAGTTAGTTCGATAAGCCAGAGTGCGCATACCGCCAGTCAATGCCTACTCCGACTTTCGTTGCGTACCAGCGGCGTTCGACTGTCCTCTGAGCGCAGCACGCGAACGCCGCTGGTAGGGCAGTCGCACGCCGCTGGTACGCTGTGGAACTCCGCTGGCAGGAGAATGGTACGCCGCTGGTACGCGAAGAGGGTACGCCTTCGGACCGCATGTTCACCCGATTTTTGATTACGTACTAATTGCAGCATTAGTTGGTTTGAAAATTGCTATATCGTTATATTTTATGAAGCCGAAATCAGCGCAAAATTTCCTGCTATTTCGATCGATGGACTTCATTGAATCGAAATCGGGGGATTGTGGGCCACCCCTACAACACCAGCTAAGGTGTTATCAGGTCACTCAATAAGAACAACAACTCAATCATATTCCTTTGCCAAGTGCCGAGAAGTGTTAGCCAACCACTAAAATGCTGAGGCGGCCCAACCACTGCGTCGTATCCCATACGGGTACGGCCTACGCTTACAGCGTAGGGTAATGTGATGGGACGCCGCTCGCTTGCTTGGGTTGATGGAACGCCGCTCGCCAAAAGACGGTACGCCGCTGGTAGGGCGCATTAAGGAACGCCGTTGGTACGTTAATCGCACTCCGCTGGTACGCAAAGCCATTTAGGTACGCCGCTGGTACGCAACGAAAGTCTGAGTAGGGTCCCACAAAGACTCTGCGTCTCAACCTTGGCGGCAGACGACAAAATTCAAAACCTGGAGAAGCTCGTTTTCGGCGTTTTCGTGCCGTCCAAGCTGCATTTTCAGAATCAGCGGGGAGAATAATCGCAGGTAAGCGAAAAAAATCCATTCGAAATTTTGCCCGGACGCTGCCTTTAAAGAGAGTAAGACTTGGAAGAGAGATTAGGGTCAGGGTTCACTGTCTGTTTTAGTTGTGATAGGCTATCAATTTGTTGTAGGATAACCACTCTTCGAATTCCTCCAGTCTCGTTTTCAAGCGTGTAGAAAGGAAACTTCGATAGTTTCAATCGATTGGCATATAGCTGCGACACAGAGTATGGTTTTTTATCCTCTTAAAAAGCTTTGCAAAATAGAGCTGTCGGCACGCAGCTGGCCTCTGTGCCTAGTCTAAATATACGACCACATCAAGACACAGGCGTCGATTTCTATCTAGCCGTGTCCTTTCTACATCTTACCTTGTATATAAAACACATATTTAGAGCCGAATGTCTCTTTGTCTGTCAGTGCTGTTTATCTGTAATAATCTCGGAACAGAAAATTCCATTTCTCCAATCGGGATCAAGTTTGCATACTTACAAGTTTGGGCGGCATTGTAAGCTCTTTTCAGTGTTTTTTCGGTGGTGTGGAGGTATTCTCATGATCGATATCTATTTTTTGCAAACTCTGAGCGGCGGGGCAGAGAGCTGATCCACTTTGTGAATCGGTTGCCCTTATCGGCTTTATCGTGTTTCCTTCTTGCAAACTCTGAGCTATTGCACTGGTGGTTGACACAGGAGAATGAGTGCGTATTGCGAAATAGGAGAGTGGGGTCAGCCGGGTGGAAAGGGTGGGAATCATGTGGGTGGAGGTCCTGCAGTGCAAAGCACTAAGCTAGTTTCAGCTATCGAACCTGTTTCAACCTTTTTTCTCCTTCCAGTGGTTGAGTTTTCCCAGCGCTGTTGAAAACGAATCAGTTATGGCTGTGTTGGGGGAGAGGGAGCATATGTGGGGCGCATCTATTCATCCAACTGTTGCTTATTGTGACATACGCGACCTATACATTTATCATCCCGCAGTAAAGCGGGCGGAGTTCGGGCCAAGGGGGTCACCAGATAAGAAACACAATCTTGCAATAAACGTTCCTAGCGACTTGTTGTGAGCTCCCAGAAACAGTTGCACTAATAGTTGCACAGTTTGATGCACCGTCCAAATTACTGAGCCTGATATAAGCATCTCCAAACCGAACTGCCCTGCGAAAGCAGCTACAAATAAGTTCCATACTTTGATTCGAACACACTGTTCAGCCAATCTCGATTGGTGGTCGAGGCCGATCCGTAAGCACTGATCAAATAAACGGACGATGTTCGGGTTGACAGGTCAACATGATTGTTAGCGTATATATACTCGCGGAACGTTCTTAACGAAGTTGAGCTCTCAGTTGCCCTGAGAGTGGCACAGCATTTTTGGCTGCCGGTATGTTGGGTTAACATCACAACTGGTATTTGGTGATCTTCTGGGCTTTTAAAAAAGCTTGTAAATGCTGCGTATTTCCAATGGTCAGCAGCGTGGATCATAAGGTATGTATGTATGACTCAAATCCAGGTTGGAAGGATGTAGTTGTAAAGAACCATGTCGTTCCCACTCAGGGTTCCGACTTTTCCGAAAGGCTTTGCCCTTGTTAATTTATTATCTATTCTGGTACTAACGGACTCTGGACTCAGAGACTCGAAAGCGTTTTGCACACATCGTCAAAACAAGGATATGGATAACAAGCTCAAATTGCTATTTGTGATCTGTCTCACCTAGGATTGTTCTACTTTGAAGGAAAGAACGAGTCGAGGCTTTTCAGACAATGTGTGCAAAGTGTCTTCAAGTCTTTTAGTCGCAGATGAAGTCAGTAAGCGTAGCGCCGCGGAAGCTGCTGTCTGACCCGAAGACGAACACCAGTATTAGTGTAACAGTTTATCAGTTACTGCGAAGCACGATGATGATGACGTACACATGGAAGTCCGGATCGTGTGGTGGAAAAGGATACTGATTGACCGCTGGAGATGTGGAGACCGGACCGTTGGAGATGTGGAGAGACTCGTAGAGAAGGGCAGGCCAGGACTGTGGAGGCTCGATAGTGGACTTGTCAGCGGTGCTCGGGTGGTAGATTATCCACCGTACTGCGGAATGCATATCGTCCTCATATGTACATAACAGTTGATTTTATTCTCATAACATACTTTGCCTTTATCTTATCTTCTTCTCATAACATAGCTTGCCACTTGCACATCTTCATGCACATACGCTTACAACTTCTAGTCACAGACTTTATCCGAATCGGTCTCACCGTTTGTCATTAATGTCACGTTATGCCTCACCTCTAGACAACATAATCTCTCCTTGGCTAGCCATCGGAACATCCTTGTTTTGTAATCGGCCTGTTAGCTACATAATTATATTAGTATTATACAGATACCATCACTTATCCTGCAGACTCATCAGGTCACTTACAAAACTTCATGTTCATGCAGTACCAGGTATGGCGGCTCCTCAATCCACACCCTACCTGCTGTTAGGATATTGTTTAATCGTATAGCTGGATGTAGCCACCGAAAATCACCAACTGTCCAGCCGTTTACACTCAGTCGCATATATAAGATCGTGTCAACAGTTGCAAGCCATTCTCCTCTACATATGTGCAGCCTAGCTGCTCCCCTCGCCATTCCCTTATCTTTTTGTGCTTATACCATAGATATAAACACTCTTATGTAAGACACCGCTACACCATCAGCTAAGAGGATTGCGAACCCTTATCCTGACATTGTCAGGAAGACTTGCCGTATCGTTTTCGACGTTGTTCTCGATGTTTTCTAATTCAGACATTTTACTTGCAGATAAACCCCTTGGAAAAGGAGTGCAACTGTAGCTGTGCGAAAATGCGCAATGCAGCTAGAACGTAAGTCAATCACTACTTTTATCGCAGATATAATATGTCATTCGTAACTTGATTAACCTAATTTCACTAGTGCAAGACGCATCTCTTTTTTTTTTTGAACTTGATCTGTCTAAACACGCCAAGAAATTTCGCGTTCAAAGAACTCTCTACCGTGTCTCTTAACCTAAATAACTGTGTGGGAGTGACCATTTCGTGAGGCACAGTGGTGCGGCTCTTTTTCATTTTTTCAAGCGAGCAGCTTGAAAAAATGAAAAAGATGCTTCTTGTATGCGTGAAGTTAGCGTACATGTCACTGCTTGTTCCCCTTCCTTTTTTTGAAGATCTTGTCCGGACAAAACGGCATTTGAGTCCATTTCCGTTGGCTTATATAGCTAGCTTATTCTCAACGACCACTTAAAAATCGCAAAGTTGACGAATACGGGCTTTTTTTAAAGCACATCGGCTGCCTCCATGGAAGGTTGAGGGAGTCATGTGGTAGATGATGTCCAAGCCACTACGGGATAGAGGAACGAGCACCTCAATCAAGCATCGCCTTCGCGATTTACTGGTCTTGACGCGATGCACAACAGTAGGACGAAAGGACCAGAAGCCCGCGGAGGCAGTGCCTAATTGAGGTGTTCGTTCCTCTACCCAAGGGGTATAGACCAAGATGAACGATAGCTGCAAATAAACAGGTTTCCAGCGGTTGTCAACGCGCATATAATTGTTCTTTTCGAAGCATAATTCCTCGGTTGGATTGGAAGTGGTATAGATAGGTAAGAATTAGGATCCACTGAGCTCTCAGCATTTTTTTTCGAAATTCCTAAATATCATTATAACGTAAACATAGAAAATGAGAAAGATTTGACCTATGCAACACATAAGGATGGCACAAATTGTTCATGTTGGCTGCCCCATGTGCAAAAGTTGTGGAACGCTCAACTTCACTTATGGCCCAGGATACGTAATGCTGTTCGCAGGAATTTCATTTGCAGGAACTGGGCTCACGACGTGGTCAGAATGTCCGCAGTAGCGCCTATCCGGAAACAGCAGTCGAAGAAGTTACGCTTGCATCAAGATGACCCGTTATCTGATGGTGAAGATGAAGGGCCGAAGAAGATACGTTCCTACATCAAACCAAGTAAGTTAACAGTCGAGAATCCGAAAGCAGGTATAGCTAATGAGGGCGATAGATCATCTAAAGCTATTCCCGGTTCAGAAAAGATATTGTAGATACATTCTGCACTCGGGTTGTGGCTCAAAGGCATTGTCTCGACAGATCTCGTCTCCCAGATCTTCACCTTTTCGGAGCCTTATCGCCATAAAAAACCTATTCCTGGGCTTTCCAGCGCATGAATATGGCGGAAATGAGCTTCTTCCGAAGCTTCCCAGGTCCGCATTCAATGGAGGATACGTGCAAGTGGGCGGGGCCCGAAACCAGGGAGGCGGGGCGCGGAAGACTACCGGCGTATCTTCGCTGAATGCGGACCTCGGAAGCTTCGGAAAAAACTCTCTTTCGCCATGCTCATGCACTGAAAAGCCCAGATAAGGATTTCTTGGTAAAAGGGCTCCGAAGAGGTGAAAAACTGGAAAACGAAATTCTGCCGAGACATTGCCTCTAAGTATCGACCCTACTACAATATTTCCGATGACATACATACAAGACTTCAGGATCGCCCTGAAGGTGACTAGGGCTATAAGTGTAAGGTCGATTCGCACATGATCTTCTGGCACTTCGTTTCTGAGGACGGTCCATACTCTGCTTATAGTGCAATGCAAAGATTTTCCTGTTTGCGGCGCACACGCAGCGCGAGTTACCTTCGATGCGTTTCTTGTCTTTGACTTGGCAGCGATTTCTTGCTCTTCTTGTTTTCTATTCCCAGTCTTTGTTTTCTGGATATGAATTTACTTTGTCTTGTGCTTTGTTTTTCACTACTTCGATTGCAGTTTCAAAATAGTGCGTAGTTGTTCTAGCTATTCTGATCTAGCTGTTCTTTAGCTTCCTCATTGATATCGTTCAAACTGATCAGAAAACCAGCTGCTTGAAGAATTCAGGCCAGGCTTTACCAGATTTGACTACAAAAGCATAATTTAATAGTAAGAAGGCATAGGTTCTTAAGAAATATAGAAAGATTACATGAAACAAGAAAAAAAGCAATTATCACAACTTACCACATAAGAAAGTCGTCATTGATGACCTATTTATCAACTCAGGATTCATATTTATCAGCTCTGGATTAAATGCGGAAGTTAGGTTATCCACAGTCTGTCCCAATCGAGATTCAGTGAAGCTAGCGGGCAAACACTGTCAGAGAGCAAGAAATTCGAAAGAGTCATACAATGCAGGAGACACATCCGTATCGCCACGATGCAGTGCGCATCACTTCAATTTTGTTCTGATCTGGATCGGGATTGACTCTTAGGCCTTGGACAGAATCCACGCGATTTCATCGCCTCGAGACTCTTCAAACAAGGCAACAGTTACGAGTCCATTGCGTACCGATCATCTTGCATTTGCGGTTGTGATACTTACTCATAGTAGTCGTGTCGGAAAACTATCGCAACCGAAATGCAAGAGGTCGGCATGCAGTGGACTTGTAACTGTTGTCTTGTTAGAAAATTGTAGGGCAGTGAAATCGCGTGAACTCTGCCCGATGCCTTAGGGAAGTAGTATTCTGTCTCCCCTCTCACCTCCCTTCCCGCTCTGGTACGCGTCAGACTCATCCGGTTCAATCGGTTCTCCGCTATTGGTCACATTTAATTGACCAATAGCGAACGGGTGAACTAGGACAAACCAGATGAACTAGGACGAACCGTGTGAATCGGATAAGTCTGGCACCTGCCTCTACCTCCTTCTTCATCTTCGCTTGCTTAGCAAAGCGGACGACATCTGCCTCGCGATCTCTCTTCAGTTCCTCCCTTTTCCCTCTCTCCTATCTAGATCTGGGGATACAAGCCCTGCTCTGACCGGAGTTATTTCTTAGGAAAGAACGCTGTTTAGTTTTCATCCCTATTTGAAACCACACAGAACAAGAATATTTGCAGGTAAAAACATTGATACATACGCAAGGCGTATACAACCCAAGTTTGAGAAGTTGATGAAAAGTCATGGACTCAACCGTACGAAACTTCCGGTAATTTACCCAATAGGTCAAATTGCGACTGCATGTATTTTATTCTGTTTTAGCATAACTCCTCTATGAGACCACCTCCAATGCGGAAGGAAAGGCGCGACCTGAACCGTAGTCCGAAACAGATCCATAGAGGTCCTGCGCCTGTTGCTAGGTCATTTTCGGCTCCATCTTCTTCCAAGGACGTGCGCCATGTGGATCAGGCTAGATCTTCCGATACCCGCATCATCCATGAAGGAAAGTCTTCGCAATTCATGAAAATCAAGTCCAAGGATGCGCAACAGTCCAAGAACATGGAAGGAAAGAAGTGCGAGAAAATAAGACCACCGCCACCGCGTCCACCATTACCTGAGAAGCGCACGCAGACCTCATCAGCGATTAGCTTTACCGACTTTGGCGTTCAGTGCGACTTGACAGAGATATGTCCTCCTGCAAAAAAGTCTCGAGAAGATGAACTGGAGTCATCCGCTATTGTTACAACTCCTGCAGCGAATTCTGCAAATCCTCTAATGTGAGTATTTTCTCTTACTATAAGTATATCAGGCATCAGTATCAAAGCTTCAGCGTTTCTTCTTTGGCAAATGAAGGCTCAAACGTTTCTCTCCCGCCAAATGAAGGATTTAGCGTTTCTACTCCGGCAAGTGAAGTCGGGACTGTTGCGGCTCCGACTGATGTAAAGGTGCGTAATCTCGTGTATAAAGCTGTATGTCTGTTTGCCTGTGTGTCTGTATGTGTGTGCACGTATGTTTCGAATAGAAAATTCCTTTTTGAACTGATCTAGACCAGACTTTGCACACATATACTACGGGGCGAGGTGGGTGTCATAGGCTACTTTTCGTTATTGATCGATATCGATTTAATCGATTTTTGCAAGGTCTGAGCTACGGGGCTGGGAATTAGCAGAGGGGGATAGGTCAGCATGATGACTGCGAATATGTGTTGACAGAGCCGGGCCGAGCTGGTTTGCCAGCTAGTACTGTATACAGCGTTGAATGATATACAATCGAAATCACTGAACGCGGCGGGTGCGCGGCTGCGGTGAGCACGAATTATGCGCGGAGTTTGGCAGGAATCTCTTCTAGGTTCATAGGGACAAAGTCTTTTACGGTTTACGATAGGATTCTCTTGAGGTTTGAAAGGAGAACCTTGAGTCTGGGAGTCGAAGGAAATGATTCTGAATTTGTATTCTACGCCCTTAGGTGTGATAGTTTGAGTTTTCATCTTTCATAAAAGTGACGTCATTCACTTATCTTCTTTGAAGAACATGATTATCCTACATGGGAATTTGATCGGAAAGGATTATGATTCGAGTGGGCGCAGGTGCACGCTTAAAAATGCTAGCTACTTTTTGTGTCTTCTTTTAGTTTTCGCAGGTCCTAACACTTCTGGTTCCGCCGAGCACATTTTGGTGCGTAAAGGAGTCAGAGATTACGTACTCTCGTTATCAAATAACAACCATCACTATTGGAAAAACTTGCGATTGTCTCTATTTCATCTCAAGAGAAATACCTATTAACTAAACTGCTGAAATAGAGTGACAACAAAAAAGTCTTTTTGGTCTAGTTTAGCTCAGTTCCGAAGAACTGGGCACGGGGATGTACATAGCGCGGGAGCAGAGCCCGAGGGCAAGAGGATATGCGGTCGAAAGCACTGAAAACAAGCAAATAAAAACGAAATCAAAGGGTTTGTGGGAGGCCGCAGAGACACAGAGCACGAAAATTGGAAGTGGACACGAGCTCTCGAGAATCTGTCTCGTGTCCCTCATTTGGGCACTGCCGTGCAGACGGCTCGCAGATATCTGCGGTTAGCGCGTGCAGGCAGCTGAGATGCCGTGTTGCACTTGCATCAGAGAAGCACTCTTTTCCCTGCCCAAACAACGCTATTTTAAAAAGTATTCCATTTATTGAAGTTGCTTTGTAGGTAGAAGGCCTTCCGCTTTGGAGGACTTTCCCTTACTTTTGTAAAATAAACACAGTCTTGGCATGTACATCTGTCAGCTTTGAAGAGGAATGATTAGGATCAGTTTATACCAATAACCACAGTTTTTAGTGGAATGAACATCTGAACTTGGCCTATCTTTTCAAACGTGGATCGAAGATCTTCACAATAGATACATTGCCAGCCACGGTATGATTACTGTAGATAGCAAATAAATCATCGAAATCTATTCATTTAGGAGAATTGGTATAAGGATATATTTTACGACAATGCAGCAGATGATAGGAACATTGAACGAGCCAGTCCAATTGAGAAAGTTGGCCAAAGCTCCCCTGTAAACAGCATCACCCCTAAAACTTGTTTTGGAGGGGAAGATCGTCGTACATCTACCCCCGCACAGATAGCCGCAAGGGATGGAGGACGTTCAACAGGTATACCTCGTTTGTTTTATATATTTTTTCAAATTTTGGTGCTTTGGTTTTTAGTTTTTAGGACGCATAACTTTTTAGTCTAGATTCAGGCTTAGGCTTAAGTCTGATCGACATATTTTTTGGAGTTTCTGAAAAGGGCACATTTAAGGCATTTTACAGAGCTAATTTGATTTTCTGCTCATCTAGATGATAACTCTAAAAATTTCGCGACGGATTAGGGGAGGGGGGGGGGGGGAAAGCTGCGCATACCTGCGGTCTCGTCCCACCACTGATGTATACACTCACAAACTATCATTTCAGTACTCTCTGAAGCTGACGCAGGGCATCGACAAGATTTCGAAAAGAAGCGTGCTCGTGAAGAGATTCCGTCAACGCCTCACTTGAAGTCTTGCTTGATGTTGTCAAAGAAAACTGTAAAAAGGAGGATTAGCTTTTCGGATGATCTCGTCTCTGTTCGTCATTTCGAAGTGGATGCTCATTGGGAAGAGCAAGTTGTCCCGCCTACTGTCCCGCCTGCCATAGCCGCTGAACATTGCCAGATGCACTCGGAAAGAACCAGAATCAATTCCGTGAGTACAAATATCATTGTGACGCGAAAACTATTCGAACGTGGCTCCAAGAACAGTGACGGGAGAATTAGATGACATATATAGCTATTCGATATTCGTAATTTGGTTCATCTGCAGGAGACTGGCTCATCGCATGATCGATCCACTGTTGGAGGGAACGACCCGGTGAGAGGTAAGAAATTACGATTTGTCACACTAAGTCACCCTTATGTTTGGATCTTCTTGTTTGATGAAAATAGATTTCAAGAAATGCTAATTGAGCTTTTTATTTCTGTTAATTGGTCCAATTGCAGATCAGGCGCTTGCTCAACAGCAACAACCATCACATCTGCCTGTGGTGAGTTCATATTACTTATCATGCAGCAAGCCTGCGATTAATTTCAGTTTTGCTTTTACTGGATGACTTTGCTCATTGCATTGAGACGCGCAAATTGATATTTGAAAAACAGTTTCATTTCGTCGAAAATATTCGTTATTGATAGGATATCCGTAAAATATCTTAGCTTGATCAAAAAATACGGGCTACTTGTATTGCTTTAAATTTGTCATTTTTGAAAAGCCTATCGTGTATCTAGAAGTAGGAAGATGGAGGAAGGGTGACAGCAATATTTTCTTGGAAAAGGAGATATGTGAATAAGAATTCTGTTCAGGTGAAGCAAGAGCCTATCGATGAAGATGATGACATTGTGGTGTTGTTCAGTGGAAAAACAGAGGTAATTACATATGACTTTGGGGTTTTGTGAAAAATAATGCCGTAAAGTTGAAACTATTTCTTGGTTGTAATTGATTGGCGCTTTTATCTTTTGTTTCAGTACATCGAGAAACTTCGACGTGAACACATTTTGTATTGAATACACTCAGCCCAGGATCTCGTTTTTCACTTACTTGTGTTGTATTCACTGCTTTCGATTTATGTCGTTTCCCATAAATTTGCCGTCATGCCGATCTAACTCACTTGATTCAAAGTGAGGAAAACCGGTGCTTATCCTACTTATCTTGAGTATTGATGAATTCTTACATTGTATGTTATTGCATGAAAGTTGTATTGAATGTCTGCCATATAACTCCCAAGTAAAGGATTTGATGTGATTAAGTCTACAGGACAGATCTTTTTCAGTCTCTGCTATTGTGCTGATAGTATCATGCGAGCACCGAGCGGGAATACGCCGGTACTTCGTTTTTTTAAATTAACTGTTCGTATATTCTGTATGTCTCTATCGGAATAATCGGTCGGAATGGGACTTGACATCATTTATCCACAGCGCCTTAAAATGCGTCACCAGTGACAGTCCGAGAGGTTTTGGGGAGGAGGGAGGGAGGCAGAGGAGGTTGACTATCATCATTACCAACTTCTGCTCCCGAACATTAGGGGCTGATAAGTCAGAACTAGTTGCTTTTTACGAAGACGGGGATATCGTCTGCAAAGAAAAGTCGCCAGAAATTTGGTGTGGGTGACTTCAATGCGAAAATCGGAATTTAACTAAGCAAAGAAGCCTAACAAACGTCTGTGATCGACTTCTCACCACCGAGGTCGGAGCTTGTTTGATGTCTCAGTAGTTCCGTCCTATTTATGATTAACCCGTGCTCGCGAACATGGTTCATCAAGTTAAGTTTAACCCTAGCTTAGAGTGTTGCATGCCGTCAAACGATTGGCAATGTGCACAAACACTTAATCCGCAATCTACAAGTAATTATTGCTGAACTGTTGTTTTGTGCTTATGTTTAATTTAGAATGAAAGCTTCGCGTGTCAGTTTCTCAACTCGCGAAAGATGATAACCGAAATAACTTCGAGGGATCGTTTACCGCAGCAAAAAGCTGCTTCATCATCGCTGTTAATCTTGAATTCTCGCATCTTGTCTCATTGTGACATTATTCCGGGCATACAAGTTATTGAGAAAGCAGTATCGTATTTTTTATCACGTAGTTTGCGCAAGTAGCTAGACAAACAAAAAGGCAATATGTTTGATTCGACCTTAGACAAGTAGTTAATTTTTCCTTCATTTGTTGGACTTAGTAGAGAGAGACAGACAGAGACAGACAAAAAGACTCGGGACTGCTTTGAGAGATAACGGAATATTTATTCTGTAGATTCCATTAGAATATGTTAGCTTATGATAGAAAATATTGAATGATTGTGTCTATATCTTATATATAAAGTTGAATGTCTGTTTGTCTGTCTGTCTGTATGTCTGTATGTCTGTATGTCTGTATGTGTGTACGTATGTTCCGAATAGAAAATTCCATTTCTGAACCGATCCGGACCAAACTTGGCACACATACACTTCGGGCCCCGGCGGGTGTCATAGGCTACTTTTCGTCATTGATCGATATCGATTTTATCGATTTTTTGAAAATTTGAGTTACGGGGCTGGGAGTTGGCACAGGGGGGTAATCGAGCATGCTGATTACGAATATAATAATGACAGGGCCGGGCGGAGCCGGGTAAGTCAACTAGTCATGCATAATTTTGAGATCTACCTGTCTCGCATATTTTCAATTGTTGTGTATTTCGCTCGTTATCTTGTTCTCATTTAAGGTTCAATTATCCAATAGCTGGTTGACAAACCTCAGGGGAATATGGTGCCCCCTCAGTCAAATTTTAGTCTACCAATATAATCTTCCTGTAGCTCAACTAACAAGGGAAGTCACTTAACTTAGGTCGGCCTTTTGAAATGAGACACATATATTTAGAATCAGCTTGGAACGCTAATTCCAAATGTGCTGTACTTAGCTGCGAAGCGTTCCTCTGAAGCGAGTTATGAGCTTTTTAGTATATGTGATTGACATATAACTGAATATGGAAAGAAGGCCTTTAGATGAAAATCTGCCTAAAAAAGTGGTGGGAATTGAAACAACATCAAACTGAGTCATTTGGTTTTGATAGGGTGTTGTATGCATTTGAACTACTACCTGGATGAGGATACCGTAGCGTGCCTAAGTCGTCCAGCACGCAAACTTTGCTTAGGAAAAAGCTCATAACTCGCTTCAGAGGAATGCTTCGCAGCTAAGGACAGCATATTTGAAATCAGCGTTCCGAGCTTATTCTAAATATATGTGTCTCATTTCAAAAGGCCGACCTAAGTTAAGTGACTTCCCTTGTAAGTAATCTTGAAGCTTACCAGCAAAATACTGAGAAAAATTTTGTCCAAATTCTTAATGAATCTACACGCGATGAAAAGAGGCCAAGGGAAATTGGAGATAATAGTAATCATAGATATGTGTTTGTTGTCAAAGCAATTGATTGAGTGATGCATCAAGAAATCACCTTATCCCTGTGCGGTGTTTAGATAAATTTAAGCTTGCTCTTGCTCTAAAAAACCAGGGTTTTTTGATGATTACGTCTGCGGTGAGTCCGATCACATCTACGAATGAAGATAGTACAACCAAAAAGCTGGTTGCTGGTTGCCTTCAAATTCTCATAAAATATGGCACTACAAGGCTACAATCAGGGTCCGAGGATTTTCGTCCGATGGGGCAGGGGGAGAACGAAAATTACTTTCGAATACGAGCACCCTGAGAATTTTTGGGACGCTCTAAAATTTTTACGGCCCTTCTCCCTTCAAATTTGAGAAAATATAGGCTGTATCACCCACCATCGGTCGCGAGGATCCTAGGCATGAAGCTGCGCGTGCGCGTCGCATACATAGAAAGTTAGTACACGAGCGCGATTGATTGCCCAAAAGCATGCGCACTCGCCTCTTCATGCAGTTTTTTCTTCGTTTTAACTTTTCGCCATGGCTTTACCTGTCCTTCTGCATGTTTGCGTCAACTATGGCTCATTTTGAATATTGAGGAGTCGTTCGAGGGAGCACCAAACAGAAAACTTTTTGAGAGATGCTATCATTCACTCTTGAACTATCAGGACTGGAAAACGTAATGCACACTTGTGAAAACAAATCAAAACATTCGCATCTCCTCATTTAGCATGAAGTAGCCACTTCAGATGCCAGCAACAAAACTTTGAGCATGCAAGTCAGCGTGTGCAATGCGTTTTCAACCGGCCTAGCGTTAGGCTCCCACCAGAGTGCCGAAGTTATGCCAGCGCTACGCCAGCATTTCGATCGATACACGTGTATTTCGTTGGGGACGTCAGCTAGCCCCGCCCCAACGAAATACACGTGCATCGATCGAAATGCTGGCGTAGCGCTGGCATAACTTCGGCACTCTGGCGGGAGCCTCAGAATGAGTATTTGGATGGTTTCCATATTGATTTTTGAAGTGAGATTATCTAGAAATACAACAAATCTAAAAATCTTGACCATAATCGCAGAGAAACTTCTTAAGTGATGGTTCACGCTATGCTATTTTGAAGAATTGCAGCATATAAAATACGCACGCACGTGAATGAAAACTATTGTAGGAATGTAAAGCAGAGATAGACAAAGAAACATCAAAAGAAGCAGAGTCAGTTGATCCGTCCAACTCTGAAAGCAGGCCAATTTTGCGCCCGAACAAAATTCCTATGTACGGCGTGCGCGCGGAGACTCATCCCGCGGTTCTTCGCGACCGATGATGGGTGATATGGCCTATACTTAGTAATCCATTTTGGGCTGCCTCCACTCCCGAAAAATATTTATAAGGCTAATTTGAGTTTTAAAAAAATTCTAAAAATTATTTTAAGTTCCTACAAGTATGACAATCTAACTGCACATTTTTGATACAAGTCACAATTACATTGAAGGAAAACTGACCACTCAAGATTAATCCAAGGAAGGTTTCTATGAAAGTGATATACAGAGTTGTACAGAGTTGCCAATAAAGCTGACTTTGATCGTCGTGACCGTGTTTCCCACCTAGCTCAAGTCATTAGTAACTTAATTTGCTTATTGCACACTAAGCTAATTAACGGCATGCATGTTATGACTGTTTTTTAGTGAGTTCTCCGTATCTTTGTCTCTTTTGTTTTTGTTAGACATGTATTGGTTAGTGGGGGAAGTTCGTCAAGCTAGAAAGGGTTTGCCGAGAATTTACTAGTCGACGTCCGTTGCAGCACGTGGTGTAGGCTCATATTTTATGTTACGAATGACTCGAGGATATAACGGTTCTAAACCTTTTCAAAAACTATGGTTAGAACAGTGTTGTAAGCTTCTTCCCGTTTTTTTCTACCATTGCGATGGAGCTTTGGGAAGAAGGGGAGAGAGCGGAACTTACTGGGAACCTTCTGCAAAATCTGGGCATTACGTAAAGATGTACTCGCAGTTTGTTTTTTTTGACGAAGCAGCGTACAGTCTGCCCCAATCGTGGTCAGCCCGAACCGACGGCTGAATTTGCGCGCTCGCAACAGGGATTCGCATTTAATGCGCTCTGTCGCAGAGAGCGAATAGATTGAGGAGAAAGCAGACTAGCCAGCCGTGGACGTGACGCAATACCCTCGCGACACGGGCTCCCGCCATGAAATTCTGGCCTGGTTAGGATTGGGGCAGACTGTACCTACTATTGATTCTAAAGCATACAAGCTTGATTGTGTGGTACTAGTTAATACTTGTTATTCACTTTTAAAATCGAAGGGAGCACCTAAACACCTATCCCCAGCACCCCATTTAGCGGACTGTTCTCGACTTGCAGGGTTTTGTGCGGGGACCCAGCACGTGGGCAATGGGTCTGCATGCAATATCATGCATCACTACTCAAGTCTCCTCAAGTACGGTAGAGGATGTATTAAAAATGCATCGATCATCGACCGCGATCATCCGCCATTCGTGGTGAAGCGACGAAACAAGCCGGCCCCTTTTAGACATGAAACAGTGTAATCGGAGGGGTTACTGAGAATCAAAGGTACCACATTGAAAGGGCTGATTGCCCATTTCTGCGCGATTACTAAAATAATGGAGAGGATTCAAAACGATTTGGAACCGCCGTTGAAAGTAGTTCTTAGAGGTGATAGTAGTGAGCACTCAACGAAGGAGCGTTGCTCCTGGTTGCGATGCTCGAGATAAGGAACTAGGAATAGATTGATGATCCCTTGTTTTTGTGTTTTTGAATTTCTTCATTCCGATATTTTTCCATGGGTAGAGCAATTAGGTTTAGGTGGTAAAGATAAGAACGAAACTGCAAAGCCAGCTGCCTCGAAGGAAACCAGAT